CCCAGAGAACACGCGATCATGCAGGATACAAATGCACACTTCATCTCAACTAGATTCGACGAAGTCTGCAAGGTTTGTGAAATTAAATGTTCATTAATCATTCAAAGATTTGTTTAAATGATATAAATGTGTCTTTGCTGAATGCTGACGGCAAACGAGAAAGTATTATAATGTTTGCCTTTCTATTACTAATAATAAAGCAATCGTTATAATACTGTTTTGTATACAATTTAATTCATTTGTTTAACAGTTCTATCTGATTATTAGATAAACTTCTATCCATATTAGAGACAACTGAACGACGACAGCGAGCAAGAGGGAGAATGTGAGCTGTGTGCGCTCAGGCGCTGTCGCTCTCAGCGCCGTCAAAATAAAAGTCAGACGTACCGCCAAAATAAAAGTTCCGCCTCTAACACATCGGCCAAGCAGAAAAACTTATCGGCCAATGCCGATATTTGAAAAAAATCCAAATATCGGCCGATATATCGGCATTGGCGATATATCGGTCGACCACTAATCAGCATAGAACTACATTTGTGTAATAGAAAAGTAATAACTGATTACATGACTTTTTGTTTCCAGAGGTGATCGATTTTCCCACCAGAGCTATCACAGCAATATGGATGACAGACCAAAGTAAGTAATCTGAAAAGCTGTAGATTTAACTGACCTATGCCCTATTCACACTAATAGCAAAATGGAAACGAGCAGCAAATCGTAAAATGCAAAACTTCACAAAGAGTGTGAAATGAATACCGGTTACCCTGAACATAAACATTTACTGGCACACTACACCTTTGCAAACCAAGTTAAAAGGAGAAAGCAAATGAATTTGACTAGTAACAGGACTCAGATCGGTTTGCTGTGTGTGGCCTAAAAGCAATTTTATTTTATTTTTTTGGTCGAATAGAAAACACAATTGACACATTTTTCTATAAAAATACATTTTCAATTTAGTCTCATTCACAGTGAATATTTGCTGTCAGTATGATTAGGCCTGTATTTGTCTTGTTTATAGAGCTGTCAGTTTTAATGTAGGGCTGGGAGATATGGAAAAAATTTTCAGAATGTTTTAATTTTAATGTTTAAAATGTTTTAACTAGTCAACTTGAAAATGTAACTACAACATGATTCAAGTAACTTTTACTTTGTTAACCCTCTAGTTAAAGAAATTTATTTCAAGTGCACCACACATGTTGTCAGCATGATGTAAATGTTAAACAAATCACTTGTTAAATATCTTTGCAAAAAAGATGCATGAACTACATCTTCTACAAACGTATCTTATACATATTATATGTTCAGAAAGAATACAAGGAAAATGCTTTAAAAAAAAAAATCTCAAAAGTCAAGGTAATTCAAATTCAAAATGACTGAAGGTAATAACACCAGTAGACTATTATTAACTAGGCTATAAATGTTCTGTAAAATCAATAAACAGCAGCTTTCAGTCTGTCACCATGATGCAAACATGAAATTTCAGACATACAGTAGTAGTTCTTTACAGGTTTTTATTGGATTGCGCTGCTTTTCTATGTTTCACTGTTGCGCTCGAGTCTCTTGCAGTGTCTCATGCATGAAATGGCATTCTTAAAAACACAGCGCTAAAGTTAAAAGAAGTTTAAAAACTCCCATCTTCCTGCATTTTTTCTAGTCCACTGCCCGTGTCGCATCTTTGTCAACACAAAAGCTCATTCTGTGTGAATCAAGGTTATTTTCGTAAACGTAAACTAAAACTAAGATGGAAACGATTGATGAAAAAACTATTCTGAAATAAAAGTTTAGGTTTAGGGAAATACCTGTAAATGGCTCATTGCGCACGTGAGGTTATCTTATGCAGAGACGCAAAGCAGTTTAAAGCAGAGTCCTGCATGGGTCCTCTTTGGTAAACGTGCACCAGCAGTACTTAACAGAACACTCGACCCGTTATCCAACAGCAGCACTCATTTAATTCTGTATTTGTCTTGTTTATAGAGCTGTCAGTTTTAATGTAGGGCTGGGAGATATGGAAAAAATTTTCAGAATGTTTTAATTTTAATGTTTAAAATGTTTTAACTAGTCAACTTGAAAATGTAACTACAACATGATTCAAGTAACTTTTACTTTGTTAACCCTCTAGTTAAAGAAATTTATTTCAAGTGCACCACACATGTTGTCAGCATGATGTAAATGTTAAACAAATCACTTGTTAAATATCTTTGCAAAAAAGATGCATGAACTACATCTTCTACAAATGTATCTTATACATATTATATGTTCAGAAAGAATACAAAGAAAATGCTTTAAAAAAAAAAAATCTCAAAAGTCAAGGTAATTCAAATTCAAAATAACTGAAGGTAATAACACCAGTAGACTATCATTAACTAGGCTATAAATGTTCTGTAAAATCAATAAACAGCAGCTTTCAGCCTGTCACCATGATGCAAACATGAAATTTCAGACATACAGTAGTAGTTCTTTACAGGTTTTTATTGGATTGCGCTGCTTTTCTATGTTTGACTGTTGCGCTCGAGTCTCTTGCAGCGTCTCATGCATGAAATGGCATTCTTAAAAGCACAGCGCTAAAGTTAAAAAGTTTAAAAACTCCCATCTTCCTGCATTTTTTCCTATTCCACTGCCCATGTCGCATCTTTGTCAACACAAAAGCTCATTCTGTGTGAATCAAGGTTATTTTCGTAAACGAAAACTAAAACTAAGATGGAAACGATTGATGAAAAAACTATTTCGTAAACTGAAATAAAAGTTTAGGTTTAGGGAAATACCTGTAAATGGCTCATTGCGCACGTGAGGTTATCTTATGCAGAGACGCAAAGCAGTTTAAAGCAGAGTCCTGCATGGGTCCTCTTTGGTAAACGTGCACCAGCAGTACTTAACAGAACACTCGACCCGTTATCCAACAGCAGCACTCATTTAATTCTGTACCAGACCAGACCCGTTTGACAAAGACTGCGAGTCGCGAACCGCACCCGCATAAAATCTATTACATCAGGTAGGCAAAATTATTTATTTTCTCATGTAACACAAGCAAGCAAACCAAAATTAGGCATTCCAAGTTGGTGCTTTGAAGAAAAACGGACACGCAGCGCAACGCAATAATTAACAGAAAAAAAAGACGAACGCACATCCTTTCTGAAAGCAATACAAAACTTTAGCATAGCATCTTGTGATCACTCTGCCAGGCTTTCAGAGAAATGTGCATAGGCTAAATCACATCATAAACACGCTTATAATTCTTAATAAATGAAAAGAACATATTCAAATATGAGCCTTAATGCGATTGCAGTTATTATTGAATTTCATTATTCCCAGTTATGATTTATGCGCAGTTGTTCACGGAAAAGTGAGCAAGACACGACAGTTACAATATATTGTGATTGTTAAAAAAGAAAAAAGACATCTAACCATCATAACCAAATTAGGCTACATTTATTGTCATATTAAATATCTCAATACACATCATTAGATATGACATTAAGCACAACTTGTGTAGATTTATTTAGTAAAAAGGCTTGACTGCTTCATTTTGGCGTATATTTGTATACTTTTACCATTTAATCAATGGTAAAAGTTTAATCATTTAAGCATGCGTTAATTTTGTGTCGCTAGACATTTGCAAGTCTGTCTTTGGCCTGCGCTCTGGAAGTGATCTGTTAATTCTGCTAACCTTTAATTAAAACTAAAACTGAAACTAAACTATATAAAAACTAAATAAAAATGTGTTCACAAAATAAAAACGAAACTAAAACTAACAACAATATTAATGAAACTAAACCAAATTGTATGGCAAATTTGAAAACGATATTAAAATAAAACTAATTAAATTCAAAACTATAATAACCTTGCTGTTAATGGCACCTCATGGTCCTTCACAAAGTGCGTCACACATTAGCGGTTAATCACGTGCACTGACATGCGGTTGGATCATTCTTTTCTCTTAACATTGGCATATTGTCAAAGTGTCTAATTGTAACGTTTGGTAATATTTCTATTCAAAATCGTGATTCCTCGATTTATAAAAAATAAAATCGTGGTAAAACATTAAATTCGAATTAATCTATAAAATCGCCCAGCCCAATTTTAATGTGATAATACTGCTTCATATAATCTATATTCAATGCTTTGTCTACCACAATAATGTTAGGTGTGTGGCGAAGCAGTGACCTAAAACCCCTTTAACCGTGGTAAAAATCACTGTATTGCATGGCCTTGAGTGGTTTATTGCTTTCATTTTAAATAGACGTGTCAGATTGTAAGCTCAAAGATCCATGTAGAATGTGCTTTGAGTATACGCTTGTGCTCTCTGAATTGACTCCCATGTTATATTTTTTTCTTTCCCCCATCGTTGTACACAGAGTGGAGGTGGATATGGTGAGTGTTCTTCAGCTGCACACATACACACTAGCTCAAGGTTACCTCCAGTCAAACGGAGCACTGCACTCCTCAATAGTGTAGCGGTTCCTGCTTTTCGCTCTCTTTGTCCTTTACTGTCGTAGCTCTGATATCTTGATCACTTTTTCCATCTTTTTCTTTTCTTGTTTCATCTGAAGACAATAATTCTTCTTGGGAGCCCTTCCAATCTGGTGAGTGTGTCAGATAATATGATTATGGAATATATATATTAATTAAGGTTGTATAAGAGTGTGAATGAGAGGCCTACATATAGGCATTAGCTGAAACACAGTAAGATATTTGTTTCATCAGGTGGTCGAGGTTCTTACAGTGACATTGGTGGACCTGTTATTACAACACAAGTGACTATCCCTAAAGATGTGAGTGCAATATGACACAACATATTTGTAAAAATGGAACAACACACAAAGTTATTATAGTTTGTGTTTTAATTCTGTTTTAGAATTAATTTTATTTCAAGCAGCAGCATTCTTTTAGTATTTTTTTTTTATATTATTACCATATTTATCAATGTAATTAAGTAATATTTTCAGTTATTTTAATTTCAATTTAAGTTTTAGCAATTTTTGTTAGTCTTTTATTTCATTAATATTCGCTGTAGTTTTCATTTTAGTATTTTAACTTAATTTTAAATGTAAGTGTACATTTTTCAATTAATATTTATATTTTATTTTATCTCAGCTTGATTTCAACACTGCTAAGCACCACTGTGCTATATAGTATGTTACTGCAATTTAGTGAGTTTGGTCCTGTTTTTCATTTTGTTTGTTTGTATACCACGAAATGGCAATGCATTTTACACATGCCCTAGCATACACCTAAAAACCAAAAGATACCTTGGGCTTTAGCAGAAAGAACATTTCTTTCATATGTAAGCAAAGTGGACATTATAACTGAAATGTACCCAGATCAATCGGAATAAAATCAAATTGACAGCAGAATCAATCTGAATTGGGAAATCTGTTTTGATACCCAATTTTTAGGGATGCACGATATATCGGCCACCATATCGGTATCGGCCGATAAATGTTAAATTTAATGTTATCGTTATCGAACCGATAAGAAAATTTTGCCGATATATTAAAGCCGATAAATAATGCATTATTTCCTGCAGAGACACTTCAGATGCGCACTGTTCGCCATGATGGTTTTTTTAATTGCTTGAAATATTATTGGAATCACTTCGAAAAGTTAAATACAGTGAAGTGCAACATGTGCAGGGCAAGTCTGTCATAATATAATGAGAACATTACTGTTAAATAATGTTATGGAATCTTTGTGCGCCCGTGTTTAAGCGCGTTGTTATGGGAAGAGCGCATTCACAACGGAGCTGCACTTTTATTACCAGCACAGTAAAGTTCGCTTGTGCATTTGCAGCCTTTTGTGCAATTGTACGTTGTAATATTGTGTTTATTTTATGCATATATGTCTGATTTATCACAAATAGAATGCGTTTGGTTAAGCTAATAGAGCGCTTCAGTTTACCGGTGATCATCTTTAGCTCAGCGCACGCAGCTCAAACAGCAGCGCACATCATTAATAACTAGGACTATCATATATATAACATTATAATGAGAACACTATTATAATAAAACGTTAAAATTATTTGGTTTAATTTGTTGTGTTTCAGCGCGTTGTTGCGGGAAGAGTGCATCCACAACAGAAGTTACACATTCTGTTTAGCACGTAACAAACTTTGAGTTAATTTGTGCATTTGCGTTTTTTTTGTACATAAAGTTGTAATATTATGTTTGTTGTATAAATATCTGATTAATATATGATGCATTTCCTTGAGTTAAATAAGCTGCCAGCAAAGCATTTCAGTTTACTGGTGTTCATTCAGCTCTTCAGCTTCAGCACATGCAGCGTGAACAGCAGTGCACAACATTAATAACTAGTATAACTGGGAATGTTATATGCATAACATTATAAAGAGAATATTACCGCAATAAAAGTTGTGAATTCTTTGGGTTTATTTGCTGTGTTTCAGCGCGTTGTTACAGGAAGAAGAGCGCATTGAGTTACACATCTGACTAGCGCTTAACTTAGTTCAAGATCACTTGAGCATTTGCATCTTTTTATGCATATATAAGTTATAATATTATGTTTTATGTTGTATAAATATCTGATTCTCATATAGCATAATTAACCCACTAACAAAGCGCTTCAGTTTACTGGTGTTCATTCAGCTCTTCGGTAACAGCGCACACAGCTTAAACAGAAATGCTGCAATTTGAAACGATGGTATTATTTAAGATGCTTCTTTTTCAAAATCATTGATATATTATTAATAATAACCACTACTTTTATTTTTATCTTATTATTTTCATCAACAATATGGTTTAATTAAAATAATTTCATTATTGTCGGTGCGGAGTCTATTCTATTCCATTATTTTATTTATTTGTAAGGCTGCTTTATGTTTGATTTATGTTGAAGTGTTTAATGGCATTTAATGGTGAGACTTTTTTTGTAATCAGGCTCTCAAAAATTATATAAAAATTTGGATTTAGATTTATCGGTCAATGTAACGGTTATCGGCTTTCATATATAAAGATTTATCGGTTATCAGTATTGAAATAAATTTTCATATTGGTGCATCCCTACCAATTTTGACAAATAACGATTTATTTTTGTTTCAGTTAGTATTTCAACCACTGCTTTATTTATTTGTATTTTTATTAGTTGTAGTTGAATGGCAGATATTTACTTTGTCTTGTTTTAGCTGGCTGGCTCTATCATTGGAAAAGGCGGCCAAAGGATCAAGCAGATCCGTCATGAGTCAGGAGCATCTATCAAAATCGATGAGCCTCTGGAGGGCTCAGAGGACAGGATCATTACCATCACAGGCACACAGGACCAGATTCAGAACGCCCAGTATCTACTACAGAACAGGTGAGTCTATCACCTATTCCAGCACTTTAGCTCAACCCCATCCTGACACCTAACCATCATGTGTGCTAACCAGGTGTGACAGATTTCCAATTTTGGCCCAGTGAGATTACGTGTGGGCTCTTAACCATTACGGTTCCTTAACGATTTCATTTAACAATCCTTATAGAACCGATTCTGAATAAGAATCTCTATTCCCAATATCCCAAAGATATTTACCCAGTTTATCTTGTCATACCTGTTTTGGACACAAGGTTACACTTAGCAACCAGACAAATCATATTTTCCTGAGTATATTAAGTCTTTTATTTTGTTAGGGTGAAAATAGAGGTGCTAAACTGCTGCTTGTCTTTCTTTGCTTACTATTTGGAGCTAAAATGTTTTTTTTTTTTTTTTTCAGTAGTTCTCCACACTTTCTTCATACTTCATATACATTTGACTGCCGTTTCATGCACTTCTTTTTGCCTGACCTAACAGCTTCAAACTTCTGGGGGAGTTTTTTTTTCTTTTTTCTTTTTTTCCCCCTTCTTTTTGTGAAATGTGTACAAAAGGGTTTGTTTTACTGGTTTCATTTGGGATAAAATCCACATAATTTACAAAGGGGCAAATGAGTGGACCCAGAAGAATGGAGTGAACAACGCTGGCTTGCTTCTGTGTGGAAGACTTGTGATTTTGTTGTTGTTAGTTAGATGAAGTGACAACAAATCACGGTCTGCCCTACAGCACAGGCCCAGCATCATCTGCCCCCACCCTCAAAACACATTTCACCCACCCTATCTGAAGAGGCCTGCCAGTCTAACCTACTCTGACTAACATCTGAACTCACAGCTGACCATGCCAGTGCTGGCTTATACTCTGTTTGAACCCAAGCTGATTTGATGTCTCTGCTGTAGCATGGGCAAACAGACCATAAACCAGCCTTTCTACTGGAACATGCTAGCATGACTGCTTTCTAATACAAGATGCAAACCTGTCTTCTTTCTGTAACATGCCATTATGATATCCTCATGCAAATGAAACACTCCTATTATTTACCTTATTGTATTGGGTATACAGTTTGTAAAATTTAAAGTCAACATGAAATCATAATTGACCCTATTCACTTTCTGAATTGATGTAAATTAATGGTCTTATTAAGAACGATTCATTGTTGCACATTGGGGGTCAACAGTATAATTTAAATTTGTCTTTAATTTTTGTAATTTTATGTTATATTATTTATATATATATATATATATATATATATATATATATATATAGACTTGTAAACTATATATTAAAATAACAAAGAAACTAATTACAAGCAATTGGTCATAAATATAAATAATAGAACAAATCATAAATAAATAATGGAACAAACATACTAATGAAATAAACAGTACTTAAGTCTTTCAGGTAGGTCTGCTACAAAAATACTACAAAAAAATTCATAAAGTGATCAAATATAAAATAAAACTGCATATTCTTCACTGTATGCATTAATGTGCATTGAAGCTTATGAACTGATTAATACTACAGATGTTATTCAGCCAATAACAATGAGTGATTTCCTCCTTTTCTTACTGCTGAAATGTCATGCGAGTGTAACCAGGATAGAGGCAATTATCCAAAATGTTTACGAGCTGTCAAATTTCTACCCTTATTCATATAGGGATATATATTTTCAAAACTGACTTGAAGGGTTAGTTCACCCAAAAATGAAAATTAGCCCATAAATTACTCACCCTCAAATCATCCTAGGTGTATATGACTTCGTTCTTTCAGACGAATCCAGTTGGAATTATATTTAAAATGGTATTTTATCTTTCAAGCTGTTTCATGGCACTCAGCGGGTGTTGCATGCTTCAGTCCAAAACAAGTTAAATAAAAAGCACCCATCAATAAAAAAAAAGTTTTTTTTGGGTGAACTAACCCTTTAAAGGTATCATATGATGCTGCTAAAAAGAACATTATTTGGTTTAATGAAATGTTTATGCGGTTTAAGGTTAAAAAACACATTATTTTCCACATACTGTACATTGTTTCTCCTCTATGCCCCGCCTTTCTGAAACGCATCGATTTTTACAAAGCTCATCGGTCTGAAAAAGCGAGGTGTGCTGTAATTTGCCAGCTATCCAGTGCGTTGTGATTTGGCCGAATACCTCAAGCATGTGATGGAAATGGTACGCCCCTTACCACATTGTGATGATGCCCTGTCAGGCCGGAGCGGTGATTCAAAAACATGAAAACCCATTATAAACGAGGCATTCGTTGCATCCAGTGGGGACATAATTATGGATTTTAATGACTTGTACTGTCTTTCGCATCACGCCGCGTAAATATAAAACCATGTTTGCATTTGCGATCGGAGAAATGACAAACTACGAGCGCTACTCTACACTGCTCAAAAAACTCACTTTAAATATATAAAATATAAAAACTCTTTAAATATAAAAAAACGTACTTACAGTCTGTGAGTCAGAACAGCCGGCATTGTAGTCTACTCTCCCAGGATCGCCCTCTTTTGGAAGGCCAAACAAAGTAGTTTCGCTTTCACAACGAATCACAGCGCATTCACGACATGGCAGCAGCAGCAATATTACAGCCAGAATAAAAGTTACGCCACCTTTCTTTGCGTGAACATTTGGGCGGCGTTATGCAAATCTTCCCACATAGTGATGTAGACATGTGGGGGCGTGTTAGAATGAGCCGTTTTAGGAAGGTGTGGCTGACTCTTAACTTTTATAAAGAATATCTCTTTGGATTTGAGACTTTAGTCTTAGCAACTTTACAGATCTTCTTTATGCACCAAGAGCTTGTAACACTCCAAAGAGAAAGGAAAAATTGAAATCGCGTCATATGACCCCTTTAAGGAAGCCCTGTATAGTTAGGCTAGTTTTCAAACTGGATGCATTTCTTATGGAGTACTAACATGTTTTAAAACGGCTAGATTCTAGCATGTAAGTTAATGCATTGCTGCTAAAATATCAAAACAGAAGAAGAAAAAAAAAATCTAGTCAACTGTACTAATCAACTAGTAGGTTTTTGGACAGCTAGTTGACCCCTAACTAATTTGAGCTTCTTAATTTTACTTGAGAAAAAAATCTAATAATAATAATTAAGAAAATATGAAATAAAATGGGTTAGTAATGCTATTTCATGTTGACTTTAAAACCCGTTGCATGCTAGTATGAGTAAACCTAAAATATGCAAATAGAGCCAGGAAAACAACCTTAAAATGCTCCAAGTAAATCAACTTGTTTAATTACCTTTTCTACACGGTGTATTATAAACCAGATGATGTACTCGTGCTATATGTGAATACTGTGAATTCGCTTTATTATAATACTATACAGTTTGTTTTGTGTTGTTTATTGTAACGGCATATCTAGATTATAAATCACTTGGCTGCTGGCTGAACTGTCCCAGCATGATGAGGTTTTGTCTCTGGTCTCAACCGTGTCATTTCCTCTTTCAGCGTGAAGCAGTACTCTGGTCGGTTCTTCTAGAGGGTGGAGATGGAAGCCAAACTGCCATATGCCCATTCACTTCAACTTGTTTTCAGAGCCTACATTCCTCTGCTTCTTGGGTAGATGTGCTCCCTGACATTTCTCCTAACAATATTTTTAAACACCATATTTGAGGGATCCTCTTATTTCTTTAACATTTTTCTTTCTGCACGTGATTTTTCCATTATTGATTGTACTGTTTTGTAAGTAGAGGGAGCCCATCTGTGAAGTCCGCTGTTGGCCTTACCAGAGCTGCATGCTTAATCTGTGCAACATGCAGAATGTAATCTTATAAGTGTTGTTTTTTGTTTGTTTTTTGCCAATGAATTTATTGTTCCATTCATGATGAGACTTTTTGGGGAAAGTGTAAATATTCAGTTCAGTTCTTTAAAATTTTAATATCAGTACAGTTTTATTTAAAGGATGATTTTGATTTGAAAAATGGGGGTATTGAGGGTGGGAAAAGGATTCATTCCCGAGGGATTTTTTTTTTTTTTACTAGTTTTTTTCAACCCGATTTCCAGATTGGTAAAACTTCAGAAGATTGATTGACCATTTGTACTCCATTGACATTGGGATCCATTAAATCTTGCTAGCGCTTATTTTGTACGTCTGTTTGTAAGCATTTTTACCATTTTAAATGGATCTTTCTAGACGCCTTTCTCTTCACAGTTGGGGGGGGAAATAAAAGCTTCTCTGTTAAAAAAAAATGTGGCAGATCTCTTCCATGTTCTCGTATCATTCTTTCTCTCTGTCCCCTCTAGTGTCTTTGTAGAATGTGCTGCAAATCTAAAAGAAAAATAAATAAATTCTGTGCCACCTTTTACTAAAACCGTGTCTGTGACATTTGCTTTGGTTGTGGTGCTTTTGGAATGAATGTCTATCAAAAGAGGCATATGCAGTTAAATGAGATGTGGTGTATGCGTCTTGTGACTGAGTTGTAGAGCGGGGGTATGCCCTTAAAGTAGATACACATCTTAAAGGAACACTCCACTATTTTTGAAAATAGGCAATTTTCCAACTCCCCTAGAGCTAAACAGTCGAGTTTTACCATTTTTGAATCCATTCAGCCGATCTCCGGGTCTGGCGGTAGCACTTTTAGCTGTAGCTTAGCATAGATCATTGAATCTGATTAGACCATTAGCATCTCGCTCAAAAATTACCAAAGAGTTTCTATATTTTTCCTGTTTAAAACTTGACTCTTCTGTAGTTACATCGTGTACTAAAACCGACGGAAAATGAAAAGTTGTGATTTTCTAGGCTGATATGGCTAGGAACTATACTCTCGTTCCAGCGTAATAATCAAGGAACTTTGTTGCCGTACCATGGGTGCAACAGGCGCAATGATATTACGCAGCACCTGAAAATAGGCTTATTGGAAGTTACCTAGCTGGGGACTATTTTCAGGCGTTGCGTAATATCATTGCGCCTGCTGCACCCATGGTACGGCAACAAAGTTCCTTGATTATTACGGAAAACGGTAAAACTCAACTGTTTAACTCTAGGAGAGTTGGAAAATGAGCCTATTTTCAAAAATAGTGGAGTGTTCCTTTCATGTCTACTAGTTTAGAGAAAAATGTGTCATGTTACTTTTATATTCTTAGCACAATTTTACTATTTATCAAATCATGTTTCTATAAATTCTACTGCACTTAGTAGAAAAATATGGAATGGACTGACTAAGGCTACTAGCTTATTTGTAGTGCATACAAGTACTAGTCAAGGTTATATAAAACCATAAAAAAAAACATTTTCATTACTTAAATATTAGCTGAAATAAAACATAAAACGTAAACTGCCATGTTGCCATGTATATGCTGTGTAAAATAACTAAACTATATATACATTAAAAAATAATAGTAAATGTGACAAAAACAACAAAATTACAAAAACATTTCAACTGAAAAAAAAATATTCAAAATATTAACAAAAACCTATATAATAGCAATGATAATAAAATAACACTGGTACTTAATTCTGATTATTTGATTAGAGCAGATTTTTCATTAAGATAAATTCATTAAAATTATTTATAAGTTTATTTTATAGAACCGGCTAGTGTTGGGCAGTTACTAGTAACTTAGTTACTGTAATAATATTACTTTTTGCAGTAACTAGTAGTGTAACTAATTACTAATAAGATTTTAGTAGTATTACGGTTACCATCCATAAAACAGCTTAGTTACGTTTGATAACTTGTGCCTCAACCCCACTGATTTAAAATCCAACAGTCAAATAATTTCTAGATTTATTTTCATAATTTTCACAACTCGCGCATGCATGTGGTGTCCCCCAGTGCAGCAGGCAAGCTTGGAATATGGAAACACTTACATTCAGCAGATAGAAATATTGCATTATATTGATTTTGTCAGGAAAAAAAGATGATCTGAACACTGCTGTGTAAGTTGTGGCTTTACATTACTCTGGCATTACATCCCACCCACATCCCTCTGATCAGCATGTGGTACATTATATTACTATAATTAAAAATCTTTTTGGAAAATTAAACCGTTTCTTACAAACGTATGTGATTTGATAAAATACATAATGAAATATAATCATGTATGGGTAACAGAGAAATTACAATTCGCTTCAAGCTACACATGACAATTAATGAGATTAATACAACACTTTTACTCGAATGTCACTATCAATCACTACTGAGTGTTTGTAATAACTTCTGACTGCGATCCAATGTGGATTTTGGTCAAATGATGAGGCAGAAATATGTTGTTAGTAAGAAGAATTTTATGTGGAAGATACACAGGCTACAACTTCTGTAGGGTGTGAAGAAGTACTAGTAGTAGTGTAACTAATTACTGTTGCCAGAAAGTAACAATATTACTTTTGAAAGGAGTAACTAGTAATTAGTAATATATTACATTCTTTGAGTAACTAGTGCAACACTGGAACCTGCACATGAAAACAACTAAAAACAAATATTTCAATGGCATGGCAACCTTTAAGGGTTTGAGATTTGTATTTGTAATTTTGGTAATACACTTGATCTTGAAGTCAAAGAAAGCTATATTTCATGATGTTCACTCAAATCTAATTTAGGTCATGAAAAAGGCTAAAGATTCGTCCAGTGTTTAAAGTCTGAAGAATTTTCATTCTTTTTGACCAGCTGCTCCTCCTCAATTCTGCGCGTCACACAACAGGGAGTGGATAATGCTGTCGCCTTTAATGAACATGGCATATTAGTAGGCAGGTCCGAATCATTTGACAGAGTCGGTTGGTTTGGACGATGCTTTGAGTCGAATTCAAACACCGATTCATTTGAATCACACCAGATTAAGTTGATCTGCTCATTTTTATTGGTTTTTTTTATTGGTTTTCTTTATACATAACAAAACATACCAGTACAAAAATAAATAAATACACTGTATACAAAACAAACAAAAGTAATTATCATAAATAATAATAATTATAGAAATGACATCCATGCCTGAAGTAACAATCTGAATAAAATTCTCCCGCATGTCAACATCCATGTGATTTCCATTCACTTTAGCTAACATTTTCTCATATGATACATTCTCTATCATAGATTCAAATCCACATTTTAAGTGAAGGACATTGCATATCTTTCCCAAATCTAAGTATCAGTCGTACTGCCGTGATTCAACCGACAGTAACAAGGGAAAACTCGTTGATCTGCTCATTTGAACCGTTCTGTAGCAAAGTAATGTCAATGTATTACGTATAATTACATACAAAATGTACACATTTTGGAACCACAAACTGTCCCCGTCGTTCAGTTTACTAACAAAGTTCTTACAGTCTACTGATTCACACACGCGTGCGAATCGGTTCGTTCGAATGGTTCAAAAGAGCCGGTTCAAAAGAACGATTCCTTCGCGAATCCAAATCGAATCTATTCAAACTGGCATTTAAATCCACACGAGTGAAGACCTCAATAGACTAACTTACAAAATCGCGCGGACTCCTGTTCGCGGTGTTACGAGAGTACTGTAGCCTTCACTTCGTTGGGAAACGGGTTTCCAAGGAATAATTCGGCCATATGCAGCGGTACCACGCCCGGAGTGGAGACTTTTAACACGGGGCCAACACCATTCATGCAAATATTCCCAACCACTAGTTCATAGACGGGGGACTTTAGAAGAGGAACTACTGTGTTGTGTTGACTTTCAATATTGAACGCCAAATATAAAACAGTCTGCAATGGAGTTATTAAATCCAAAGGATCTGTTGCGTTCCTAAAACAGATAAACCGCATCAGGATTTCAGCCACCGTTACGTGTCGAATACTGTAACACTTTTCCAACCGCTGCAGAAATATTAAGTGTACAAATGACGGTTTATGATTTGGATTCTTTCCTCAACGCGCTCCAGGGAAACACTTTATCTGGCTTTATCTAAACGCCTGCATTTGAGTTGGAACGGGCGTTCTTTCGATGGAACTGCTGAAAAGCTCCGAATTGTGAACCGTCGCGGAGAATCATGACGCTGGACAGCATCCTGGCGTGCTGCCTCAGCGAGGAGGCGAAAGAAGCGCGACGGATCAACGACGAGATCGAGCGGCAGCTGCGCCGCGACAAGAAAGACGCTCGACGCGAGCTCAAACTGCTTCTGCTGGGTACGCGGTGCTTTCGTGGCACTCTACCAGACTTCCCTGCATGTGTGGCAAGGCGTAACAAATGCAAACAGTTTGAGGTTTACACGCGCATCAGCAAATTAAATCATTCATTCAATAAAATGCATCGCGTGCGTAACCGATTCAGTGTCTCTGGCCATTGCACGACTGTTTTTCTGCAAAGAAAAGGTCAGCCCTCTTTATTTAGATTCATATAAGCTCGACAGGTGGGACAACTGTTGCAGGTGCGATGGGACTCGTTACACATCTGTGCTTGTCTACAAAATGTGTATTATATTGGTGATGATGCGATATTAGAAATATTATTATAATATACAAAAGAATTGTCTTTAGGATTCCTCAAGACTGATTTAATAGGAATACAATAGGATACATTTAGAGAGAGATTCTTGAGTCAAATCTCTGCTGGATATTCAGTTGAACTGTTAAAACGTGGCAGTTTGGCAGTAACTAGGCTACACTCTTAAAAATAAAGGTGCTTCAAAAGGTTCTTCAAGCGATGCCATAGAAGAACCCTTTTTGGTTCCACAAAGAACCATTCAGTCAAAGGTTCTTTAAAGAACCATCTCTTTCTTGCGTTTTTGTAATCTGAAGAACCTTCTTTCGCCACGAAGAACCTTTTGTGAAACAGAAAGGTTCTTCAGATGTTAAAGGTTCTTTATGGAACCAAGGTTCTTCTATGGCATCCTGAAGCACCTTTATTTTTAAGAGTGTAGTCTCTAAACTGGTCATTACCTGGTCAAAGCTGGGGCCAGTAGCTTAAACATTAGGGATGTAACGATTCACTCAAGTCACGATTCGATTTTATTCACGATTTTGATTTCACGATTCGATTCACGATTATTATATATATTTTTTTTAACAAAATGAGATTTAAGACTAATGAAATAATTAAATGTGTCCTTTTATTATTGCTTGGACAAAATGCTTTACATTTCTTTGTGAAATTGAAATATAACACTATAATAATATACTAATATAGCACTTGCATATCATTGCTCTTTTGTTGGTTTTGATTGCTTCTATTGTCCTCATTTGTAAATCGCTTTGAATAAAAGCGTCTGCTAAATTACAAAATTTAAATATAATGTAAATGTAAATAACAACACTACATTGAAATTTTAAAACAAGCCCCAAATCAAATATATAACACAAATAAAATAAATCTCTTCATATAAACAAACTAAGGCTTTGTCTGTGCTCTTAACATTTAAAATTAGAGGCAACCACTGCATTTTAATCATGATCCAAACAAAGATGCTGCATACGTGCAACATGAGCAGTTTTTAAACTAAATTAGATTGTATCATTTCGAAATTTGAAGCAAAAACAGAATGGGTTGACTTCGGTTTTGTGAAACTATAAATAAAAATATCTGCATGAAACCGAAACAGCAGACGAGCTGAATGAGACGCAGATTCACTCTCTGCCAGCAGGTGGCGCTTAAAGCGTTTCCTGGTTTCCGCTGTAAGCAAAGCAGCGCTGCACTTATGTAATTTAATATGCATTATACAGAGGCAAGAGGACAAGAAAAAATACCATCTAAACTTTTCTAAAGACAGCAAGTTCCCCTCAGACATACATTCATATAAACTCCTACCCCTAAATGAATCGCGATTTGTTTGGCATCTCAACCGATTTGAATCGTCACATATTTGAATCAATTTTCAACCGGCTCGCAGTTAATCGTTACATCCCTAATAAACATAGCCACTATGTTAAGACTGTGTCTAAAAACTAGTCTGACCAACATAGCAGTTTGTCAAGGGGTATTCAGTCTCACTTTTTGGACTCAAATTAGACTGGTTTACTTTATGAACAGAAAAGGCTGCACGTGTACTGGGAATTTATCTGGAGTGAAATCCAAGTGAGTCTGTGAGTCATTGCCATTCAAGAACCTTCCAGACCAGGGGTGCCCAAACTCGGTCCTGGAGGGCCGGTGTCCTGCAGAGTTTAGCTCCAACCCTAATCAAACACACCTGAGCAAGCTAATCAAGCTCTTACTAGGCATGCTAGAAACTTCCCGGCAGGTGTGTTGAGGCAAGTTAAAGCTAAACTCTGCAGGACACCGGCCCTCCAGGACCGAGTTTGGGCACCCCTGTTCCAGACCAATTAGTTCAAATTAATCTGATTTTCCACTACTAACCCTTCACTTTTCACATGTTTCCGCTTTCAGGAACTGGAGAGAGTGGGAAAAGCACCTTTATTAAACAGATGAGAATCATTCATGGCTCAGGCTACTCGGAAGAGGACCGGAGAAGCTTTACCAAGCTGGTCTATCAAAACATCTTTACATCTTTGCAGGCCATGATACGGGCAATGGATACTCTCCAGATCCACTACAGATATGAACGTAATAAGGTACAGTAATTTGTCATACCCAGCCACTCTTACTAAACTGAAGTTTCTATGGATTTGTTATGCATTCTTTACCTTGACATGGTCACAGGTCTTTGAACTTTTAAAGTGCAAGCTAAAGCTTTCATGGTGAAGAAATAGATGCTATTGAATTTTATTAGTGCTACAAATGTTACACAGCGTCAACTTTTTGCGTCTTCTATAGTTATAATTCAGAGGAGAAAAAAGGAAGTAGGTCAAACACTGAGTCAAATACCCTGAGAGAGATACAATCACTTTGGCTAATCGTGTTGCCCAGGCTTAACACAATTACCCCTCCAAGCTATGAAATTAATTATACCATTTTATGGCCTTACAGAAATGTGCCATCTAGTTTTTTTTTTCCATTTGTAGATACCCCCACAGGCAAACCTATTTTCCATTGTGCGTAGTTGAAATATTATAGAACACAGCCTCAATCAAGTTCCATCTTATTGGGTCAGGTGTAGTGAGATGGAGAACTTTACCAAATTTGAGTCTCAAGTAAAATGGGTCAATAAAGTTGTAACCAGGTTATGTATAAGTGGGCTAGGACATGACACGAAGTCTGCTGTTGGTTGGGTCCAATTGGCTCAGGGTTGCCAGGTCTGAGTAACAAAACCAGCTCGATTGGTAATCAAAACTAGCCCAATCATGGCAAAAAACGAGCACAATCGCATTCTAGGGAAAATAGCTAAATCTAAATCGATCAAAATTCACATTCCAGGGGGTCAAAAATCTCCCTTAAGAGGGTTCCATTTTGGTCGAAATTGCTTTCCAGGGAGCTGGGGGTTTCGCTTCAACATTATAAAAGTAGCCCAATTCCGTGGAAAAACCATGGACTTGGCATCACTGCACTGGCTGAAGCATCAGCTTTTTAACACTGTTTTAAATGCACTACTTTTCCCCTCACAGGCCAATGCAAACATTGTCAGAGAAGTAGACGTAGAGAAGGTCTTCTTGTTCGTCAGCCCCTATGTAGATGCCATCAGGAGTTTATGGAATGACCCAGGAATTCAGGAGTGTTATGACCGGAGGAGAGAATACCAGCTCTCAGATTCCACAAAATAGTGAGTGCATCTTAAACCTGTCACCTTCCATAAGAAAGAAGGATCACAGTGAGGTCTCTCTAATGTCTCGTAAGTTTCCCCTAAACAGCAGTGCGATTAAATGGAGAACAAATGTGGCTTTTACTGAAGACTTCTGCTTCTGACTTTTTTTTTCTCATTTGGAAAAGATTATTGATCAATAATCTAACATGTGTCCTCTATAGAGTTTTAGAAAATATCTCAACGTCTCACTGCAGTCAGATTTGCCAAGAGACCAAAGTCTGCGCTCACAAGTTCTATTAAAACATTTTTCATCAAATTCACCCAAGACCGAATGGTCTGAGCTGATATTCAAATTAATATTAGTAGCTCAATACTATTGCTATGCCAGTAACAAATTTAATACTTAAATGAAATCTCTCTGAGCAATATTCTTCCTCTGAATTTTAGTCTGACAAACAGTGAGTAAAGTGAGTTTTTGCGAATGTAACTAAATGCTGTAAACCAACATGCCATAATACTGCGTAACTATGAGCTTCCATATGAAATGTTTAACATATTTTATATTCCAATCTACATAAACCATTGTCTTAGGATTTATGTTTATTGTCATTAATTAATCAGTAAGCTGAACCAATGTGACTGTCATACCTGCCAATAGTAGTTGGGAATCTGCATTTTAAGTTTCTGACAAATTAATACGAAGTATTATTACCAGATAATTTTTTCCATTAAGAAAGTTAAGCCCATTTTAGGATCATTAAGATCAATCAAGCACCTGCTCCAGTTTAAGTATACAATTTCAATTAAATGTTATGCTGCTATGCTATATATACAGGCCCGGACTGGCCATTGCGAGCCCCGGGAGAATTCCCTGTGGCCTAGAGGCTAATTTGGCTCGCTGCCCTGTTGTTGTTTTTTTTTTTTTTTTTTTTTCAAAGTTAAGCAGCAGTGAATGTTGCGAAATTACTGACCTGTTCAGGGCTTCAGATGCAAGTCAGTTTCATCTGTAAACTACTGTAGTTTTGAGAATTAAACTGCTAGAACCTGTTAGGCTATCAGGAGCACCCCATTATTATCATCAGTCAGAATACTGCTAAAAGAAATCATTTAATTATCGATTGTAAAGTTATATTAATAAATTTAGCAGACAGATATTCACATGGATTTATTGTATAGGTAGGGAGGGAGCTAAAGCAGACAGCAACACAAAAACATGTCATAATAATGCCTAATAATGCAATAGTGTGTTCAGTATTAGGAATTTTCAATAACGATATTGTACTAATTTTGACATTTAGGCACTTTAGAAAATGTTTTAATATGTTTGTAGGAAATATAGGGTATTTAAGTCATATTAGGATAAATAGCATTCTGTGCTAATAAATTGTAATGAGGTGGTTGTTTTGCAAAAAGGTGGACACAGTTATGTTCATAACCGTAGACCTGCTGGAGTGACCGGTACAAGAAAAGAAGGGAGAGACAGAGATATTGGTGAAAATTAAAAAAAGGAAAATGGAAGTTAAGGTGCAGTTCAAGAGACAACCTTTAATTATTTTCCACGGGCCCCAAACTAAGGATTTTACAGAAGAGGATTAGTGCCAAGCAATAATAAAAAATATAATCTCGAGATTAAAGTCGTTATAATGCGAGATTAAACTCGTTAAATTTCAAGAAAAATGTTGAAATAAAACGTTGAGAATGAAGTCATTAAATTTCGAGAATAAAGTAGTGTTTCGAGAAAAAACGTGTTAAATTTTGAGGAAAAAAGTCGAAATAAAATGTTGAGAATAAACACACTCGTGTCATGTTCATCTGATCTCGTTGGACAGTGTTTGTCAGCATCTGCAGTGGCGCACGTCGTAGAGAGCAATGCTCGTGGATGTAGCATGTAATGCGGTCGACCAGAGTTCGAATCTACCTTTTGCCGAACTTGCTCTTCCTTTTTTCATCACATATCACATCGGAAAAGTGAAAATCTAACTTTTAATTGCCTAACAAGTGTTTAATAATGATGTATTAATTGGGTAGGTTTAGGTGTAGGTAGGCTATAAGGAGGGCTTTGTTGTAACAAAGGCAGCGTCTATTTAATAATTTTAATAAAGAAAACCATTTACACTTGTATGTTATTATTGCATCCTGTTAATGTACAACAATACTGAGGTGCAAATAGTATCTGTCACTATTTCTAAGTATAAATGGCATCTAATTACTATTTACACTTATTGCAAAGATCTGCTATACTTTTACATAGCGTAAATAGAATCGCTATTTTCACTTAGTGTAAATAGCACATCGCTAAAAATGCTGCTGTTGTCACTTATTGTAAATATAATATATCAATATTTTCTCTTAGTGTAAATAGCATCTACTTTCACTTAGTGTAAATAGCATCCAGTGTGATATGTGATGAAAAAGGAAGAAGATCGAGTTCGGCAAAAAGGCGAATTCGAACTCTAGTCGGCCACATCATATGCTACATCCACGAGCATTGCGCTTTAGGACCAGAGCCACTGCAGACGCTGACTAACACTGTCCAACGAGATCAGATGAACATTTTATTTCGACTTTATTCTCGTAATTTAATGAGTTTATTCTCAACATTTAATTTCAACTTTTTTTCTCGAAACAACTTTTTTCTCGTAATTTAATTAGTTTATTCTTAAAATGTAACTGAGACTTTTTCTTGAAATTTAACGAGTTTAATCTCGCATTATAATGACTTTAATATCGAGATGGTTTTATTTTTTATTATTGCATGTCCCTAATCCTCTTCCGTAGGATTTAGACCTTTTATGTGCTGGCCATACAAATAATATGGTTGTCTGTGGTTTTTAGAATTTGTTGTTGGTGTTTAGGATGGCCTGGATGAGTGTGAGATTTCCCGGCTTGAAATTACGTCCCAGTTCGGCCCTGTGTATATATACAGTATATGTATATGTATGTATGTGTATATTTGTGTGTATATGTATGTATACTGAGAATGGGATATTTGCTTAATTAGCTTGCAAATATTATCACGATGCAAAAAGTCCTAATGTTGCAAAAATAGGCTTCCTTTTATCTAGAAGTACATTTGTTATATTTTCTATTTTGAGGTAAAATGCTACTCAGACATGTTCTTGACAGGTTTCACTGGTATTGCAGTAACAAATCCTAGAGATGCTTCAGAACTGTGAAATGTTCACCGTTTGTCCACAGTTATCTAAATTCACTGGATCGCATTGCCAACCCTTCCTATCTTCCCACCCAGCAAGATGTGCTCAGGGTCAGAGTGCCCACTACAGGGATCATTGAATACCCCTTCGATCTACAGAGTGTCATATTCAGGTAAATCTTCTCTTTATAGTTACTCTTCTAGTTCATCTAGTACTGCATTGATACAAAATGCTCCGTTCAGCCCAGTGCTCAGATGCCATCATGTTTCCAGACTGTAAGTGTTTGACTCTTCAAACTCATGACTTCTCCTTCTCCATCAGGATGGTAGATGTAGGGGGGCAGCGGTCAGAAAGGCGAAAGTGGATCCACTGCTTTGAAAACGTCACCTCCACCATGTTCCTGGTAGCCCTCAGTGAATATGACCAAGTTCTAGTTGAGTCTGACAATGAGGTAAATCAAGTACCAGAAGAGGGAGCCAAAGTTGTTACTAACCACTTGAAATGTTTGTAGAAACGTTATTTTGCATGATGGCTTGATGCATAAGCCTTTTAGCACAGATGACTTCGCTGTATTATATGATTTTTTTTTACATTTGATCAATTTTATGTTTTTAAAAATGTATTTTAAGAGGTACTTCAGTTTCCGTTTTTTTTGTATGCAATCCTAAAATCAAGATTGTAGCAAAGAAAAAGGTCTTATTAAAAGTGTAAATTTCTTGGGGGAAAAACATTTAATTGTATGGTGTAATCTTTTGAAATCATTTTTTTAATAAAAACACTAGTGAAGCAGCATTAAAATATATTCCTAATAATTGGGGAAAAAAATACATCTGCAAATATCCTCAGAAGTCATTGCGGGGTAACCAACATGCAGAACGCCTTTTGTTGACATGTGACAAAACATAAAACCAGAAATAGTACACTTATTAAAAAGTAAACTTTTGTGTCTACATCTGCATCTAATTTCTTTTAAATAACACATTTTGAATTTTTAAAAAAAATATTTTACTTAATGGCTACACCACTTGACATTTTTGAAGTCATTAAATTAAACTTTTGATGAAATTCTTATTTGTAATGAATTTGGTCATATAAAAACAGTCTCCGAGTTCTCTGGGTATGAATGACCAGTAGAGAACAATCTACAGTGCCCTCCACTAATATTGGCACCCTTGGAAAATATGAGCAAAGGCAGCTGTGCAAATAAATCCGCATCGTTTATCTTTTTGGTCTTTCATTCACAAAATTCTTAACTTTTCATTGAAGTGAAACAATAGAAAGTGGGGGTAAACCAAGGGTGCCAGTATTAGTTGAGAGCACTGTACATTCTGAACTTAAAATAGCAAGCTGTGCTCACTTTAGCAGCGTTTGAATGAAATCATTTTATTTATTTATTTATTTTTTTCCTGAAATTGTCAGAAGCAGTGAACTGAGTGTTGATTGCTGAAGTAAAGCAGGACTAAAATAAGCACTGAAATGGGTGTTATGTTATTTTCCCCCACAGAATCGAATGGAGGAAAGCAAAGCATTGTTTAGGACGATAATAACATACCCCTGGTTCCAGAATTCATCAGTTATTCTTTTTCTGAACAAGAAAGACCTTTTGGAAGAGAAAATAATGTATTCACATCTTGTAGATTACTTTCCTGAATATGACGGTAAGTTTAAAAATATTGTGATATATTGTTTTTCCAAATCTGTACAGTGAGGTTCAAAAAGGATGATCAATCATGATGTGTTTATTAGCTGATGGACTGATGGTCTTTCCATTGCGCTGCTAAAGCATTGCTATATTATTGTTCATACTTCAGGTTAGAAGTTATTTTAAGTAAAAGCTCTGATCAGTTTCCGGATGACCAAGTTAACCCAGATCGATCTACTGTTCTCTCTAAGGACCCCAGAGAGACGCTCAAGCCGCAAGGGAATTCATCCTGAAGATGTTTGTCGACCTGAATCCAGACTCCGAAAAAATCATTTACTCTCATTTCACCTGCGCCACTGACACCGAAAACATCCGATTCGTGTTTGCTGCTGTCAAGGACACCATCTTGCAGCTCACACTGAAGGAATACAATCTAGTCTGAAAAACCCGCTTATGGTTTGGTCATTGTCTTGCCGGGTTAAAGGACTCATCAGTCTGCAGCTAGAGTCTGCCGTAATGCTGTGAGCCATTAAAGTCTGCTTTAACTGTTCGAGTGGTTGGCTGTCCCTGATTCTGCTCTATGGAATTTCTATCTGCTCGCTGCTTCGTCATTATTTATTTGCACCTCAGAGCTACTTCACAGGGTTCAACTTGAATGTTATAATTCCATTTGAATGAAAAATGTTATGTTATTGAACAGATTTTTTGAAGGTTTGTTCTGTAGCAGGTTCTTCAAGATGTACACATTGAGCTGCTTGCTGTAAATGTTACGTAGATTTCTCCAACTTGGACATATTAATTATTCTGTGTGGTGAGGTTATTAGAAAGCAATGAAAAGTACTTCTATATTGTAAGATGGTATTGTTTTTTTAAGAGTCGGCGCAAGCTTAGTAGGGTCTTTCCTCATTTCCAAGGCACATGCAATGGTAAAGAATAGATAACAGCTAGTTTACATTAACATTTGCATGAATAATGCCAAAGTTCTTATAATGTGACTTTTATTTACAGCCAAGCTAATAATCATGCCACAGGTAATAACTTGCCCTTGCCAGTATCACTTATTTCTGTACCATACCAGCTCGTTTTTCTTCTCATTGTGTTCTTGGAACAGATGATTGTACATCTGCTCTTCAAGACCTGGGGCCGGTTGCATAAACCGCTTAGACTAGACTTAAAAAGTTAGTCATCTAATTTTTTTCTCTTTAAGACTGGTCTTAACTTCTTAAAGTCAGTTATAAAAAGGGAGAATGTTCTCATTTGAATCCAAAAGGTAAGTCTTTGATTACCTCTTGGCTAACAACTAGTTGATCAAACTAGTTCTTAAGACACAGTCTTAACATAGTGGCTATGTTTATGCAACTGGCCCCTGAACATTAAGATCAGCAGTGCTCCACAACATCAAGCCTGAACGATGTGCCAAGAGAGCCGATTCCTGTGTAATCATCCTACAAATGTGCCATTGGGAGATTTTCTGTAACACTTGCATACATTTAGATTTTTTCGTAATAAATTACCCAACACCTGTTCTCAGTGAGCCAATGATGCTCTTACTGCTGTTGTACTGACTTGACAGTGTGGTTAGTGTGGTGTAATCAAGCTTTGGTCAATATTTGCAGTTGTTTTTTTTAAAGACAGTACAGATTTGTAAAGAGTGTCATGTGACTAGATGCGTGTCAAACAAATGAATGTTTTGTGTTGAGCCATGTGTTCTTGGAACAGATGATTGTACATCTGCTCTTCAAGACCTGGGGCCGGTTGCATAAACCGCTTAGACTAGACTTAAAAAGTTAGTCATCTAATTTTTTTCTCTTTAAGACTGGTCATAACTTCTTAAAGTCAGTTATAAAAAGGGAGAATGGTCTCATTTGAATCCAAAAGGTAAGTCTTTGATTACCTCTTGGCTAACAACTAGTTGATCAAACTAGTTCTTAAGACACAGTCTTAACATAGTGGCTATGTTTATGCAACTGGCCCCTGAACATTAAGATCAGCAGTGCTCCACAACATCAAGCCTGAACGATGTGCCAAGAGAGCCGATTCCTGTGTAATCATCCTACAAATGTGCCATTGGGAGATTTTCTGTAACACTTGCATACATTTAGATTTTTTCGTAATAAATTACCCAACACCTGTTCTCAGTGAGCCAATGATGCTCTTACTGCTGTTGTACTGACTTGACAGTGTGGTTAGTGTGGTGTAATCAAGCTTTGGTCAATATTTGCAGTTGTTTTTTTTAAAGACAGTACAGATTTGTAAAGAGTGTCATGTGACTAGATGCGTGTCAAACAAATGAATGTTTTGTGTTGAGCCAAGAGTAAAGGACCAACTTATTGTTGGGGGGGTTAAGATTTTTTGCTTCAAAACTTTTTTTCCTTTCTTTTTTTTGCAATAAAAGGCTGCTATTTTAGAGAGAATTGTATAAAATTTGCTGTCCAAATGTAACAACAACAAAAAAACAATAAAACCCTAAATCGTCTGTTGGACACTTCAAATTACATAGATGTCGCTTCAATAAACAACATGTCAAACCAAGTGGCATTTCTCTTTAAGAGAGATTTTAAGCACAGCCATGCATTTTGAGCAAAATGTTTCACAAAAGAACAATAAAATAGTAGATATACTGTTGAGAGAAAAAAATAAGCATTTTATGGATGTTATTTACTCTGCAAGGACACCTTAGGAGTTAGTTTTGAGAAGAACTCGAGCACCATTTTTTTTCAGCTGTCTGGCTGGTTTGATTTTGTTCGATGAGATGACATTCAGACAAAGTTGTGTGACATAAGTGTCAAAACATTTAAAAACATTACATTTAAATAATATCTGCGAGTCTGAAAGTAAAACAGTCAAACTTATTGCATCTAACTGATCTGTGTCGGTTCAGTAAGTTAATAAATGCACCTAATGATTTAGTTGTTCAGTGTTTAAAGGGGTCATATGATGCTGCTAAAAAGAACATTATTTTGTGTATTTGGTGTAATGAAATGTGTTTATGCGGTTTAAGGTTAAAAACACACATTATTTTCCACATACTTTACATTACTGGTTTGATTTTGTTCGATGAGATGACATTCAGACAAAGTTGTGTGACATAAGTGTCAAAACATTTAAAAACATTACATTTAAATAATATCTGCGAGTCTGAAAGTAAAACAGTCAAACTTATTGCATCTAACTGATCTGTGTCGGTTCAGTAAGTTAATAAATGCACCTAATGATTTAGTTGTTCAGTGTTTAAAGGGGTCATATGATGCTGCTAAAAAGAACATTATTTTGTGTATTTGGTGTAATGAAATGTGTTTATGCGGTTTAAGGTTAAAAACACACATTATTTTCCACATACTTTACATTATTGTTTCTCCTCTATGCCCCGCCTTTCTGAAACGCGTCGAAGCTCATCGGTCTGAAAAGCGTTGAGAAATAGCATTGGCCAGCTATCCAGTGCGTTGTGATTGGCCGAATTCCTCAAGCGTGTGACGGAAATGTTACGCCCCTTACCATACTGTGATCAAGCGGCAACCTCCCGCTTTCTCTGGTGAAGCCAACAAGGAAGTGACTTAAACTGTAATTCATCAACTGACCGCTAGAGGCTGGCTGCAAAAGGGAGTCAATCCCATAGACTCCCCATGTTAAAATGCCCAACTTTACAGCAGAAAAAAAACATGTTTACAGCCTGGTTGTAACTCATCCGTTTCAATTATATTAAGCCTTAAAGTTCTGCATAATTAAGGGCGTGGCCACTTGAGTGACAGGTGGATTGCCGCTGCTGTCACCACCGTCGAGCTAGGTGGGCGTGGCTTCAGCAACCTGCTCCCGCCTCTTTGCCCATTTTCGATTAGAGTGACACGTGGTGACGCGCTGCCAAGATGGCGACGGCCGCCTCCGCCCACTTTTGAGCTTCAAAAATGCTCTTCGGAAATCTACGGGTGACGTCACGGACACTACGTCCATGTTTTTATACAGTCTATGATTGTGATGCCTGCGGCAACCACATGTGACGACCCCGGGCTGGACTCCGCTTCGTCCACGGTGAAAGCCGATCCGGTGATCCACAATGCGAAGTTGATGTATTTCCTCAGCGACCAGCACGGATCAGCTCCAGGCATGACGAAGCAGATATCGTCCTCTTTTGGAAGGCCAAACAAAGTAGTTTGACAACGAAACACACAGCGCATTCACGACATGCCGGCGGCAACAACAATACTACAGCGAGAATAAAAGTTCCGCCTTCTTTCTTTGTGTGAACATTTAGGCGGCGTTATGCAAATCTTCCCACATAGTGAGGTAGATATGTGGGGGCGTGTTAGAACGAGCCGTTTTAGGTAGACGTGGCTGACTCTTAACTTTTATAAAGAATATCTCTTTGGATTTGAGACTTTAGTCTTTGCAACTTTACAGATCTTCTTTATGCACCAAGAGCTTGTAACACTCCAAAGAGAAAGGAAAAATTGAAATCGCATCATATGACCCCCTTAAAACCGGTTACAGAACAGGTTTGCTGGATTGAGACATGGCTGATCTCTGCTCAGATGCTTACTACAACAACACAGTGCGTGGAACCTTTATACATGGCTTAGGACCGAGGACCTTCATTCATATCAGATATGCTCACTGAATATTAGCAGACCACTCAGATAATCGGGATCAAAACCCATCTGTTTCACTGTACATTTACTGAATCAGCGCTGTGACGTGTCCTACTGAAGTACTGTATCATCTTATTTATTCTTCTCTTTTCTTCTTGTTTGTCTTCAATTATATTTTAAACACATTTTATTAGAATCTTTATTTTTGTGCTAAACTGAACTAAATTGTGCTAAATAAACCTGCCTTACCTTCCACTGTATATTTTGAGAGACACAACTATTAAACTTATTTAGCAAATACGCTTAAGTGCAATAGGTTAATAAGTTCTGTGCTAGACTGGACCTGCTATTTATGCTGTTTAATAGCTTGTTTTTGTTCATACTTCCTCATTCCATCTTAAAAGTGTTGCATAAGTGCTGTGACACAAGACACCTTACACTCTTAAATATACAGTCAGATGCCAGAAGAATTTGTTCAGACTTTATTTTTTATTTTCTAGTTCTTTACATGCCCATCTACTGCTTTAAACCCCAGAAACCAGTATAACTATCCTGTAACGCAGGACCTTCCTTTTAATGGCTACCTCTTACTAGCAATGAAATTGTATTTTGCCTTACAGCTCATTAGGTCACTCATAGCATCATATACTAGATGAGCCAGTTTGTTTCTATCAGAAAACATAATCACATGCACACACATTTTGTTTCTCATAATTACATTTTGGGGGATGTAATGTGAGGAATATTCCATGTGTAACATAGCATGGAATTCTGTGCTATATTAACAAACTTGTTTTTCAAAATGTTTACATTTGACTTTTTATACTGAGATAGTTCACCCAAGTTCTGTCATCAATCAAAGCCTGTACTGAAGCAAAATAAAGTGACATACAGTTAACCAAAATGTCTTTAAGGCAATTTTAGCGAAATAATGTCTCCTTTATCAACAGAAGGTCTGCTAATGTATACGTTTAATATTTCTACATAAATGTATTCATATTCATCTATTCATTAATTTGATTATTTTTGGTACATTTCATTATTGTTTCTCGAAATATACTAATTTTATGCTCTCTCAAAGTGTTTTTTCAGTGGATAAAAGAAATATCGGTAACACTTTACAATAAGGTTCATTAGCTAACATTAGTTAACTACTTTAGTTAACATGAACTAAGCATGAACAATTCTTCTAGAGCGTTTAATAATCTTAGTTAATGTTCATTTCAACATTTACTAATGCATTATTAAAATCAACAGTTGTGCTTGTTAACATTATTTAATGCACTGTGAATTAACATGATGTAACAATGAACGACTGTTGTTAAATAGTTAAATCATTAACTAACATGAACAAAGATGAATAAATACTGTAATAAATGTATTGTTCATTGTTTGTTCATGTTAGTTAATAAATGAAC